TGACAAAGCATAACACCATAGTGATCGTCCGAAATACAAAGTATATTTCGGAATGTGCGATGTTGTCTGCTCAACTAGCTGGAGATCGTTCACGAAAGAACAAACGTAACGCGGCGACGTGCCAAATGGTGTGGGCGCTTGCCTGCGGGCCTTCAGCCAAACAATTGTAATTAAACATTAAGGATCAGCATCCAGTGTTCAGTGAAGAATGATGTGGCTATTAGCTTAAGGGAATTATCTGCTGCCCCATCTCACCCGCTTACTGAAGTTTTCAGTACCCATCAACGAAACCATCCGGAAATAAAAATTATTGGTATGGCCATTTATTATACTCTTGCAATGGGCTTGGTGGATTGCCTGCTGGTCGTCCACCTATGTTAATCTGGTGGATGTCCACCTATGCTAATCTGGTGGATGTCCACCACTTTGTTGATGTTTGTCTGTTAGACCTCATGCTTCTTTTGCTTCTTGTCCAGTGCCCTCCGCTCCTGGAAAAGGAAACAACAATGCTGAGAAAAATGTACTAAATACAATGTTTTAAAATTGGTGTACATCCACCATGCGACACATAACACAAAAGATGTACTTATTAATGTTGCAGATGTTACATGTGCGATCATGAAAACATTTAATTTATGCTGCGTGGTACAACAAATAGTAATCTATATCCATAGAAAAATGTATTGTGGGCACGATAGATCGATGTTTCTATGAGAAAACAGGGTAGGTCGCATTTGTCTTATCATGTAAGACAAGTATGGACGTGTTCCGATAATCTCATAGTTCGCCAAGAACGCATTTTCTTCTGAGTTTCGATAGAAAGCTTAGTGGCCTTCGCCGTGCGAATGATTTCTTCGAGGAATAATGGGTATTTGGTTACATGTGTGTTATAAGGAATGCTTAGTTCGAGCCTTACGCGATTGCCCTCTAAGTAGACCGGTTCTAGACAATCGATACTGAAAGAATCCTGCAACCCTTTTTGTCTGGGACAAAATGTTCATCCTTAGGCTCAATGACTCCATATGGTCCATCATATGGGGTTCCAGAGGGCGACCCACAGCATCACGACGAACAAATGCATGTGAAGTAGTTTTCAGTCGTGTGTGGACAAAGACTTCGAGGGTCTGTGGCCGCAGGGTCAGGTTTAACTGAACGCATTGCGTTTGTAAGCCTGCTGACATATGAGGCATGTCTTCAGCCGGTGAGAAGGCAGAGGCAGAAACAAACTCACCAGGCAGTCGTAGTTTTGTGCCATATACTAGCTTGGCGGCAGTACAACCACCATCAGTTTTCAAAGCATTTCGTATGACTAAGAGAACCAAAGGTTATGATTCCGTCTAACGTAACCTGGTGACGTAGCCTTCAGCTGTCGATATTAACGTTCAACCATACCGTTTACTTCAGGATGGTGGGCCGTTGTTCCAAAACGCATACAGCCAAGGATTTTAGTCAAGGCTTTTGAATTGCCTCCCGCGATCAGTTGTTGTGGAGGATGGCCATGCCAAACTTGCGATCCATCGTTCGACAAAGACGCGTGCGACTGTTTTAGCAGAGAGGAACTGACTTGGGCCACCGTGTAGAACATCCAATGCAAGTGAAAATATAAGTATGTCGATAAGGTTGTGGAAGGGGTTCAATCAGATCTATATGAACGTGTTCGAAACGAGCACCAGAGATGAGAAAGGTGTCAAGAGGGTTTCTGGTGTGTCTCACTACCTTATACTTTTAGGAAGCCAAGCTTGAATGAGCTCATTCCTTCACTTTCCTATTAACACAAATCCAACAAAACCAACTAGTTACGAGCTCGATGGTAGTTCGAATACCTGGATGGGATGAGCCATGAAACGTATTGAAGACGTTACGGCGATAACGTTTAGGCATGATGAGGCAAGGAGTACTCGTGGAAATGTCACAGAATAGTGTGCCACCCGATGCCCAAGGGTTTCTCGGCTAATTGCAGAGTTGTCTCCGACAACTCATGATGTGGCTTGGTATCTTCTCTTTGAAGACTAGCCAGTTTTACATGGTCTATGTGATCTATTTAGGTGAAAGAACAAATGCGCCGCAAGGCATCTGCCACAGGGTTGTTCACTCTGAATACATGGCGAATATCCGATTTAAACTGTGAAACGTAATCCAGTTGGTGTGATTCTCTAGGTGAATACCTATTTGAAGTTGAGCTTATGGAGCATGGCAGAGGTGTGTGGTCAGAGAAAATTATAAATTGGAGACCCTCCACTGAATCTCGAAAATGACGTACAGCACAATACGTATCCAGGAGTTCCCTGCGGAATGTGCTGTGCTTTGTTTCTGCCAATTGTAGATGCCTTGAGTAAAAGGAGATTGTCAAGTCATTGCAGAGCTGCACCGATTGCAGTGTCTGATGCATCAACTGAGATTCTTAACGGTGCCATTGGAGCCTGATACGTAAGAAGTGCGGCATTAGCGATAGCCTATTTTAACCTGAATGAAAGAATTTCGAGCAGACGCGTCAAGTTCGATGGACTTGTTATTCCCTCGAAGAAGGTCTGTTGGTGGCTGAATCAGGGAGGCAAAGTTAGGAAAAAGTGTCAGTAACAACTTACCATGCCATTAAAAGTGATAAGATTTTTACCACCTTTGGCTCCGGAAATTTCATTATCGCCTCAACATTACTTGCCGGTGAGCGGATACGCTTGCAGTCAATGGTGTTGCCGAGAAAGTCGAGTGAATCTACTCCCATATGACAGTTTTGGATATTGATGGTAACACCATGTCGGCTTAACCTGTCAAATACCAAGTGCGTCAGGTGAGTTTCTTTGCCTGGACTGGCACTGAGACAGTCGGCTAAGTATGCGTATGTAAAGCCGAGACCGCGAAACACTTCGTCAATTAATCCTTGGAATGCTCGTGTTGCATTCCGGAGACCGGGTGGTATACACAGAAATTCAAAATGTCCGAAAGGCGTTTTGAGCGCAGTTCTAGAAATCTCATCAGGTGTCATTGGGATTTGGTTGTACGCCTTAACCAAGTCTATTTTCGAGAATATAGTTGCGCCAGATGATGTTGCCGTCAAGTCATATTCGTGAGGCAATGGATAGCAATCAGAGTGTGGCGGCCGAAAAACATGTCAAATTATATGTTTACCAAAAAATAAGGAATCCAATGAAAATCGTGGTTGTTATGTGAGATTGAAAAGGACTCTACCATGTTCCGCGGGCTCAGAACAAATCTGTTTCTCTCAAGGTTGTATAGTGATTCAAATTTGAAAGGAGGGGTCAGTTCAAAAACCGGTTTACGCTGAACTGTAAAAGTCTAGCTCTCTGTATATACATGTATATATCTTTTTCGACTGCTGCTGGTGTAATTCAGTGTCAATTATAAAGTGCTTTTCCTCAAGTCGTGTTCTGCTTCTTCGCTCTACCCTGCGTGCTTGATCTGTATAATTGTTTGTGTTGTTCTATTACAGCTGTATGGCTGAAGAGAAAGTAAAAGTTGGGTGTCGTGTTAAAATAACATCGAGATCAGTTTTTGGGACCGTTGCTTTTGTCGGAGTAACACAATTCTCACCAGGTAAAAATTTTTGTTCTCATCGCGGACTTAGGAAAATGGGTGGGTATAATACTAGACGAGCCCAAAGGGAAGAACAACGGCACGGTTCAGGGGGAACGCTACTTTATATGTGAGGAAAATTTTGGGATATTTGTGCGCCCATCTCAGGTATGTTTTATTTTAAACGGTTTTATGCATTGCTTGCATCTCTCTATGTGTCAGCTAATGCATATTATAAGAAGTCTTTACTATCAGGGGCTCCATAATATCTTTCTCATCAATTTCGCATTACCCTATTTAGCTTTTTCAGTCCTTGCACTCCGTATTTATATCAGATTATAAAAAGGTATTCCCAGCCCCATGAAACTGGATTCCCAACTGAATATTTAGTCTGCTGGTATTCTTACTCTGCAGGCACACTTATTGGAACCTAGGCGAAGTTAAACTATCATAACCAAAATTACAGTGACTTTGGGCAACCAATCAGAATTCAGATGAAAACAGGTCGCATAATCTGTGGAAAATGCATTAATGCACATTGTGAATACGATATTACACTGAATAATTGTCGCTTATGTGTTGTAAGGATGTCTCCCAGTCGCTAACCGGACAACCTAAAGAGAAGTCTTACCATGCGTGATAGATGTTTTCATCCAGGTGACTGTTGATCGTGATACTTTGAAATCCACTGATGTTTCTGACACTTCTTTAACCTACACCTAACTGTAACCGTAATCTTAAAAGCCATAACCGTAGCATACCTGCAGTACAGATTCACAGAAAAAGTACATGGGGAATAAGTAGAATACTGTATCTACTCTCGCCAAATTCTAAACGGTAAGCATGATTTGATTTCGAATGACATTTCCGTAAATCTGATTGATTCTTGGATGTCCACTTTTGACAGACCTTGACTTTGGCTGTGATACGTTAACTTCGCCGGGAACTGAATCCAACTGTAGTCTCCAGCCTATAGAGCTTATGACACTAGAGCATCCAAAGGGCTTAATCAACATGATGTCGGGACTTACTGTCATTTCTGTCGAGTAGTTGTTTCGCAACATTTCCTTAGAAGGCGATAACTCTTATGCTTGCTCAGCCTTTGCTTCAATATGCACCAGGCAGTCGATTTTCTTCCTTACTTCCGATTGTTAGTCTCAACCATACCTTAATATCTTAAAGAACAGACAGAGTGCGCCCCCTGAAGAATATACTGCTAAAACATTGTCTATCCAATGGTTTGTGAGACTTTAGGAATGTGTGCGATATATTCCTTGTTTTCTAAGAAACTGGACTTGGTGCTCATTGGCTTTAGATCTTGCCTTCAAGCCAGTGGACACCGGGCTCTAATCCCATTTCACTTACTGCAACCTGAGCAACTGATTAGTATCAGAAGCCTCTACATAGTGCGTAATTCGTAGGTGGGTACATTAAATATGTTTTCCGGGTAGTTGGGTTCTTCTAAATATAATTTCTCACTCCCGCAAATGTTTGAACCGACACTTATTTCAACTTTAGAAAGTCACTTTGTTATCAATTGGTGAAGTGTGAAGGCCGTCTCATTTTCGTTATCCACTTCTTTAGTGAAATATCTGTATACCTATTAGGCGTCAAGAATATATCAGTATGCGCCGTTATATTATCGCAGTGTTTAGTCATCAGTGTTGAGTCTGCAAAGATTACATTCATTTATTCTACACACCACCTCTCTTTTTTGATAGAAAATTAACTGTCAATCGTCTAAATTGGTTTTATCATTTGTTACGCCTACTTACCACCTATCATGGCTTGTTGAGTCAAGGGTGGCCGTATCCGTACCCAGCCAATGAATGAATTCATGACTGTTAGTCCAATTAGTTTGGAAAAGTGCAACTTGCTTGCTGTGGTCGAAATGACTACCAAAACTCGTGACTAAAGATTGTGGGTGATTGGGATCAAAATAAATTATACAGACGCAAACGTATTCTCATCTTTTTATTTTAAATGTGTTGTCACATACTTTGTTTCTGTCCTTTTATTTCACAATATTTTACCACTTCTGATTACATTGTTAACATCACTTCTCTATTCGCATTCTTATTACCTTACATTTATATATATATATATGTATATGTATACATGAACCATCATACAATCATGCAACTCCTTGTATTAATAATGGTAGGATAATAGTAATATGACTCCATTCAAATACTGTATAGTCCAATATCCAGGACATATTTTAATTCTCTTGTCCCGCATTGTGCCATTTTTCTGTTTTATTATGTTAAGGACTATTTACAGTGTTTGTCTTTGAGTGATATTATAAAATGTGTCAGGTGGTTCTGCGATGATTAGTTGAGAATGTGAACCGTAATAAGTTTTCTCCATTTTGTGTAAGTCAATTCTTGTTTTTCCCGTTGATTAATTGAACGGAAATGTTTGGCTTCTGTCGACATGCGGCTCTGAATGTGGACTATCCGATGATGTCTGAGGATCAACAGTGATGTTATTTGCTGCCGAAGTGGCTTAGTCGTTAACACTGGCGTTTGAAACGACGGGGACTGGGTTTGATTCTCAGCAGAAATACCATCACACACACTGGAGATTGCAGTTACCTCTAGATGACGAGTCCTAAACGAGAGGGAACGTACTTCCGGGATTCCACTGATAGTCACTATACACCAAATAACATGACAGATATGAGTCTGGAGTTTGTAACAAAGTAAATTAACTAATATTTATTGTTAAATTTGACTCATTGAATCCAGCGTCCTTTGTTTTATCTCTTTGTTCGGCAGGTAAATATTTTAGTCCAATGTACTGGTCCCCTAAAAAGTATTAATTAGATTTCATTCGCAACAGTAGTATATATTTTGTTGTACTTTATTCAGGTTGTGTCCAAAAATATCGATCGTGAATGCATCTTGCAATTAAAGAATCTAATTTATTTATTCCTCCTTTGTTATCCAGCTTACTCTTCTAGATGGTCCGGAAAGATCAGACGTGATGAAGTTATCCTCATCTAGCGTTGTTTCCGAATCAGGTGCCACTTCAGAATCAAAGGAAGTTACAAAACTTGCTGGTTCGACATCTTCGTTGTCTGTAGGATTGAAAACTCCTGAGACAGTTAAAGGTATTGAATGTTTTATTTTCTGCCTGTTCGTCATTTATCTACTTCGTTTTGAATCTTATCACTAATATGTATAAAAGTAATGTAATGTAGCATTTTAACCCCAAGGGAGCACATAGTGTTATTTACATCAATAACATTATTTGTCAGCTGAAGTGATTTGTATGCTTACTTCATTTGTATTGCCTGATAAAGGAGTAAGAAGTTTTGCTACACTCAATTCATTACCCATTTATAGATGGTGATACTAAACAGAAAACTGTCTGTTGTATGGAAATTAATGTCATAGCTGAGATGCTCATGCCTTAATTAGTGTAGCGGTGTTTCAATTCGTTATCCACTGACTGGAATTTAACTCAGTTCTCCATGAATTTATCATTCATTGGATTCCAGTTTCGTTACACATGTTGATGAAATCTGATTGATCAGCTTTTTTCAGTAGGTTTGAAAGTTATACGTCGCTGTGCTCTTCAAACCGTTTTTAATAATATAAATCAACTAATAAAAAGTTAAATGACCAATACTTCGTGTTTCTTGATACTTATCATCAATGCTTCCTCATATTAGACTTTTTTTTATTATAGCTTGATTCTATACTGTATTTTTGGTAGAAGTATGGAATTTTCAGCATGTGATATCAGTAGCCCGAATTTCGCAGGCCGACCAATTGATATCAGGTATGCGCCGGCAAGGAATCGAACCTCAGACCATGTGTATGGTCGACGAGAGTCCTAACCGCTGTGCCACCGATGCACCACTGAGTATTATTGTGTTTGAACTAAAGTAACTTTGAAATAATGTTATCAATTATGACACTACTGACAGTTTGTTGTAAAGCTGTAGTACAAAAAAGGAACGCGACAAATCTCAGGGACATTTCATTCAGTAGTTTTGGAAACTAGGTCATTTTTAAGACAGGTGAATCTAATCAACATTATCTGAAATGTTATTGGAAATATAGATTAGCCCATCAGTTTTTTATCTTACGTTTGGGTCTTTCGCTGATGCACATGCTATACTTTTTAGGTTGAACCAAAACACTTGACCCTTACAGCAGACACATTGCTATTGCTCTGCTGGAGATGAAGTTCATTAGGCTAAGCACTCGGTGTACAACTGATGGGTCAGAGGTTCGAATATCACTCCATCTACTTCAACCTGGGCAATTGGATAGTATCATCAGTTCTCACATAATGAGTGTGACTCTTAGTTTGGCACATGGAAAATCTGTTCCGGGTAATTGAGCTCTACCTGATTGAAATTTAGTGACTGATGTCATTTAAATTTCAGTCATTGCGTGTTATCGAAGTCATTGGCTTAAGTTCTGCTACTGAGGGTTTTGTCCTAGCTTTGATCACCACTCGATTATATTCAGTCACTGTTTTTGTAAGTTTTGACTACCTTTAATTTCGGTCATAATAATTAATTCGAAGACAACGTCCTTTCTCTGAGACGTTGAACTATTCTATTTGTACAGAAATGTAGTGAAATTATCGTCCAGTGCATTTTGTTTTCAGTGACCCCTCAAAAAGTTTTTTTTATGGAAAAAAAATCTGTCGTCGAGTAATTTGTTTATACTCTGTATGCAACCATGACTTTATTTTTCATAAATCAGATAAATTTCTGTTTTTCACTTTTTCATCATTCAATTTTCGATATCATACATATCATTGGATGAACTTCAAAGTTATCCGGTCTCAAACGTTCTCCTCTAGCTAGTTCTACTTCATCTGTGAAGGATAAGGCTAGTGTACCTGCCTCAGCTGGTAGACGTATGTTTTGTTTTCTATAAGTGCATGCTTAACTGAAACAAGAAACAATATATGTATTATTGATTGGTTTATATACATCAATCTTACATTATATAACAGCTACGCTTTAATTTTGCCTCATTTCTTTTGTTCTAGTCATAACATTCGTCTAATGCTTTTAATCCATAATTACAGCATATGCTATAACATCTAATTTTTATTTTTATTTTTTTCTGATCGGATTCATACTACTGTATATTTATTATTTTGTTCTTCCTTTTTTCGTCACAGTTCCATCAGAAATTGAAAAGACATCACAAGTAAGTTTAGTCTTTTTTTAATATGTGGTGATGACTGACAGTGTCACATAAATTATATTTTTCGAGGCTATCTAGAAAAACGTGGCGTGCTTTCATATATAGGGATTTGATTGATTTCGGTTAGAGAAGCACATTAAAAACTAGGGAGTACTGGACAACTGTCTCCTTCTAGTTCGGGACTCTTGAACAGTACGCACCCACAGTCTCACAAAAAGCGAATGAACCCGAAGCCCTCGGGTTACAAGGCAAGGTCTCTGACCATTTAGCTGCTGAGACAGAATCCAGTGGCCGATGAGGTTGGCTGGTGGTCGCACTGAATATCGCGAGAAATTGACAGAAGTTAGAATTCATGGGCTGGTCATTGGATTCTATGCCAACGGCTGAGTGATCAAAGATCTCGCCTTGTATCTTGAAGGTCTTGGCTTCGATTCTTGCTGGCAGGGGGTCTTGAGTGAAGTCAGTTCGGGATCAAACTGTAAGTTATCCATTTGATTGGCTTGCCGTATCTATCGTGCCAGATAGAATGATTCTATTTCTTAATAGACAGCTGATTTTCCAGTGAACTTAATACATTTGATATTTTTATAATTTATCGACTTATTATTTTGTGTTAGTAAACTTCTTAACATGTATGTATACACTTCTCTTTATTGTGTTAAGAATTTATAGTCGCTAATCGATTTCTTTCACATTTTGCTTTTACTGTGTATTGAGTATTATATATATATATATATATATGCCTATGTTCTAGAATCTGTCTTCACCCTTCGACAGATTCTAGAACATAGGCATTCCTACCGGCGTCCAACAATCATTATATTTCTTGACCTAAAGGCGGCATTCGATTCTGTCGACCGAGAGGTTCTCTGGCGATGCTTGGCTGTAAAGGGAATGCCGAGAAAATACATTGCACTGATTAAAGCACTCTACTCGTACTGATGCGGTCAGGTGAGGGCTTGTGGCGAGTTGTCATCTGAAGTGGTGACGACTAGTGGCGTCCGTCGAGGATGCCCATTATCCCTATTCCTATTCAACTTCATCATAGACGTACTAATGGACTTAACCCTAACACACTTCAGCGACTCAGGGATTGACTCGCTACCAGGGAATAATCTCGGCGACTTAGAATATGCGGACGATATAGTCCTTCTAGGCGAGGACGCTGACAAAATGCAGAGTCTACTGAACACCTTGAGCAACAATCTTCGTATGTTTGGCATGCGATTCGCCCCTGTAAAATGTAAGATGATGCTGCAGGATTGGACTTCACCGACCCCTAGATTAGAAATAGGAAGTGAAGTGGTAGAGCACATTGACCGCATCACTTGCTTGGGAAGTATCATCATCCCCAACGGGTTGATCCCCGACGAAATCTCAACACGAATACAGAGGGCTGGTTTCGCATATGCCAGTTTACGCCACCTCTGGCGTAGACGCGATATCCGACTATCGACCAAGGGGCGTGTGTACTGCTCAACAGTCCGCTCCGTCCTCCTTTATGGCTGTGAGACCTGGCCATTGAGCGCAGAAGGCTTGAAAAGATTAGCTGTCGTCAATCATAGTTGTCTGCGTCCTATCTCCCGCGTGAAGTGGTATGATAAGGTGAGCAATATTGAGGTTAGGAGTCGACTGCTAGGTAAGGAGGGGAAGTCAGTCGACGAGACTGTGAATTTACATCGACTGAGATGGTTAGGACATGTGCTACGTATGCCTAGTCATCGCTTTCCTCGACGGGCCATGTTAGCTGATATAGGGTCAGGCTGGTAAAGGGCTAGCCGTGGTCAAACGAAAACATGGCACCAGTCAATGAAATCTACAACAGTTAGTCTAAGACACGCAGGAAGGTGTAGACTTCCTGGTTGAGGTCCTCGGGACGGTAAAAACCAATATATATATATACATATATATATATATATATGTAGGTGCTTATATCCACAACCAATCAGGTGACTTGGTTTCTTCACGTATCTATGAGAAATATACATGTTATAAGAATAAAACTTGGGCACTGTGGTAGAGTGTAATTCCATTATGGGTAAATTTTATTTTGATAGAGTCTCACAGTGTTATACAGTAATATTTACTGATGACGTTTCGAGCACAATTTATTGCTCATAATCATATCAAGGACCTTGATATGTCAGGGTTCAATTCCCGGCCGACACACTCCTAAACCTCGCCTAACCAAGTAGTAAACCTGGGAAAGAGACGTTTGGCCATGAGGCTAGCAACCATATTTCTCGAAAGAAAACAAAACATCACTGCTAGTGAAACTTCAAAGTTTGAAGTCCTACATTCTACTTAGAACTGAAGGAGAGAAAACGAATTTTTTTAAGCTGGTTATAAGACGACAACATTCTCACTAGCATGGACCAACATAAAGAAATAAAATGAATGATTGTAAAAGAGATACTGTAGGAACATTTAGAATACATGAAAACCTGTTTTTTCTCAGTCCACTGCCTTCCGACTTGAATATAGGACTTAGGGCTTCAAGTTTTGAAGACTCAGTAACCATTGTGCTGCTTCTTATGGGGTGGATTTGTTAGCCATACACCCAATCTTCAGTCTTTTGCGGACTTACTCTGAACTGGTAAACTAGTCAAGTTTTATTAGTACATCGACCGGGAATCGAACCCCAAACTAGGTGCTTATTTAGCTAGCATTTTACCACTGAATCACTGATGCACCCTTTTTGTCACACATTTAAATAAATTAGTTTGCTCAGTGTTCATTGTTCCCTAAATGGAAGTCAGAATGTGGTGACAGTCGTCTGCAAGCCAAAATTATAGACAGCAGTCCACGTCAATGTTGACGTCCCTAATCGAGGTCATGAGAAAAAACAAGAACAAAGCTTAACTTTGAGGACTTAACGTGTGCAGATACGATTCGCAGATATATGGCTTAACTTTCTGAGAAACGGTCACAAGCAGTACAGAATAACCTTCAGTTAGTGGAGAAACAACCATTAAGAAGAGGTTGTTTCTCCACTAACAATAACGCTAATAATAATACACATAGGAATATATAAATATCTCTTGATTGTATTTAATAAACGATCTGTCGCCTGGACCTTGTCTTCTGTTGTTATAAGAATGCTGAAGTCTACTTCTGACAAATCAAGGCTCCATGACTCAGTAATACACAGAAGTTCTTACTCCTATGTTGACCAAATACTGAGTATCAGAATATGACATGAGTAGTTCAATATCTTACATATGTATCCTGGTCCTTTGTTCTCTAATATTTTACGTTCTCTTACTGAACAGTATTCCCCTTTTGTATTTCACTTATCATGTTTTCGCTTATTTATAAAACACTTACCTAATACTAACTGATCATTGTTAATACCTGGTTTTTACTCACAATCTTTTGTAATTCTCTAAATTATATCTGTACTTTCAAAGCACAACACCTCGAAATCCACTCTGTAGTGGATTTTCACCAACTATGTTTTGTGCAGACTGTCTTCTAAACTGATTATCAATTTCATACAAATGGTATCTTTTCTTTCTGGTGTGGTTTTTGTTTTATTAATATTTGAATTTATGTGATAAATTTATTAATACCTTAGTTTACTAAACCTTTTTCTGTTTTAAGTGATAAATGGACGTAAACTGCACAAATCAACAGTTGCTGCAGAACTGTTGGAGTTCACTAGATCTCATCATCTTGTGTTTCATTCTAAGTGATTATTCAGGGTGTCGGTGGCACAGCAGTTATGACGCTCGCCGACCATGCATATGGTCCGGGGTTCGATCCCCAACCGACGCCCACCTGATATCAATGGTCTCAGCCGGCTAAATTTGAACTACCGATATGATATGCGGAGAATTCCGTACTTGTACCAAAATACTGTGTGGAATGAAGCTATAATTAAATAAATAAATAAATAAAATGGTTAATTTTAAGGTTTTAAGCGAATTGCAGCTTCCAGTGTGTTCTACACTGAAAACCATGTCTATAATATCAAATATAGATAAATCATCTTACAGTATAGCGTATCTAAAAATGAATGAGACAAACAGGTTTTTAATAAAGTTTATGTTTCTTCTAGAATTATCAATTCTTCAATAGTTCAGATTCCTTGTTGATAATGTTCAAGCTTTCGGGATTTCATCTTGTAAATGCCTATGTAAAAACATTCAAGGTAATTTGGAAACTGATCTGACACCATGGATTGCAGCAACTCAAACCTGTATCAGCCTCATTCAACAGTTATATGACAATGCTTCATGCCAACTGATTCACAACGGGGAGCTTGGCAAAGCCTCTGAAGTAAAGACTAGAGTAAGACAAGGCAGCCTACTGCCACCGACGATTTTTCTAGTTATATTAGACTGAGCTATGCGACAGTCCGTGAGGAGAGACAGGACGGACATACACTGGAGGGAAAAAAAGACACTGGAATATCTGGACATTCGTCGATGATTTATGTCTGATTTCGCAGAAGTTTGAAGATCTACAAGCGAAAGACCAGCAAGTTAGTGGAAGAGGCAGTGAAGACCGGACTTCAAATGAACATTGATAAAACAGAAGTGATTAGAAACCTAATCGACAGCAACAAGAACGAACTAACATCAATGGGGGAAGTGTGAAGGAAGCCACTTCTTTCAATTACCTAGGCGGGAAGCAAAGATGAAGATGTCAAAGGCAAGGTTGAAAAGGCAATACAGGCCTTCATTACTTTGAAATCAGTGTGGGAATCCGTCGAACTCTGTATAAGTAACAAGATCCGAATTTCCAATGCCATTGTCAAGTCAGTCAGTGATTCCATATGGTTCAGAGAATTGGCGCACTATCAAAAGCATACCAGACAGACTTGGTTCCATACTGAGGATCAGATGGCTGACCAGAAAGGTAAGCAACAAGGAACTCCGTCAGCCAACTGCCCAAAAGCCTATTGCCCATGTAGAAATATGTAGAAGGACATATATATGGATCAGAAATACACTGAGAAGACCGTGGCATCATGCTCCAAGCACTCGAGTAAAACATGAATGGGAAGCGAAAGATGCGTTGTTTGTCCGAGGATGGCATGGATGAGTTCGTGTAAGGTTAAGATGAAAGCTTATTAGCAGTCGAGGAGCCACCTAAGAAAAGACTGCGGAGAACAAGATGCAATGAATCTGTGCTGCTGTGAAGCCTAATTTTCTACCAGTAACCCGTGGGAGTAGCAATTATAATACAATAAGGTCTAAGATTACTTTAAATTGTTGTTAAACTTTACTCTTCCTTTTACTGTACATGTATTAAGCTTGAGTTTTTGGTGGTCTTGTATATATTTAAAATAAACAACATGTTTAACACAACCACCTAGTGTGTTGCACGTTATGAGTACCAGTTTATTCTGTTATCTCGTGTTTTGCTAAATTACAAAAGGTATATCTGCTTCTCTTCTTGGTGGTAAATTTTTGCACTCAGCATTGGAGTTTCTATGTGGTGCTTTGAAGTGTAGCACCATGAACTAATGAAGTGTTGTGCAGTGTTCCGCACTAATCCTTCAGTCATATCACTTGAGGTGTCAGTGTAGGCGTTGTTTTGAGCGCCAATTCCTTTTTGAAGCAGCGCATGTCAAACCATCACTTTCCATACTTTTACTCATTTTTTCTTCACTTTTATAGCTTCCACCAACTGGATCTAATCCAGACCTTGTACGAAGTAGTCCAGCTCCAACATCAACAGCTTTAAAACCTGAAACTGCCTCTGCAAAAATTGAAAGTCCTTCTAGTAAGCCTTCTGCGGATAAACCTGTTGCAGCAGATGTTATGAAGTCCAGTGACATAATGAGTAAATCTTACACACAAATTTCAAAATCGGATAGTCCGACTCGTAAGATGATAAGTGGGAGTAAACTCCCCACTTCTACTACCACTACTACATCAACACCGCCTATCCCTTCTGGTATTAAAATGCCAATAAATCCTTCGGAAATATCACAAACAATAGCAGCACTTAGTGATGTAAAAGCGGCTGCGCAGAAGGTGGATTCTGAAAATGCACCAAGTGAACTTAGAGATACGTCTCAAAAAATACCAAAAACATCTGTATCAGCTGTTCCAAGTGGTACTGGTAAGTACATCCCAGACACAGAGTTGGAACTGGCAAGTCCACGTGCTGAAGTAATCGAATTTCGTGAACAAATTGATGCTTTAAAAGCTAAACGGGAAGAAGATAAAAATAGAATACAAGAATTAGAACGTGTTAAAATTCAGCTGTCACAAGTTGAAGAGAATCGACGTCGAATCCGACAACAAGCAGCTGAATTACAACGTGAAATTGCTCAATTAAAAACAGTAGGTTTTCTTTCTTATATTGATTTTAACAATTTTGTTGGGTTGGTGAACTGTACTTGGAGCTTAAATTATTCTTTTGAAGTCACTATCATTACTGTTTCCAAAGAATGGATACTGAACAAAGAATACTCTTTTCGATAACTTCATCATCAGGCTCTGCAGTTATATATACATTATAGTGAATGAATAAATTAGTGTTGTGAACAACATTAATGTTTAAATAACCACGAATATCAATAGATTATAGTTAAATAGCATCAATATAACAATAAACTAAATGTCAGAAAAATTAGTAAAGATAATAATACAAATTCATGGATTTATAATCTCCACTAAAGGCCGGGGCAATAGTAGTGGCTGGACTTGCTTCTTTTGCACACAAAGCACTGGTTATTTGAGGCGAATTGAAATAGCCTCTGCTGTTTGGAGCATGTGGTACTTCGCTGTTTTCGGCAATTTATTTGGCACACGGTAGATGATAGAGAAGGATTCTTCAATGCTGGCTTTGTGGCTGGTTTGGACCAGATGATCAAATATCGAACTGTTGATGGTTTTCACTACACCTTTACTTAGCTATACTGGGAGATGTTTCTTTTAAAAATTGAAACCTCTGTAAATAAATCATAAAATTGTATGAACGAAAAGTTTGTGAACTCTCTTAGTTGACTAACTGTAAGGAGATAATATATTCTCAATCGATGGCGATAACTAATCAAAATCGATTGATAACCTGAAAATGACCCTATATGGAGTAAGCTATTGATGATGCAACATGAAGTTGTTGACTGCTAACACTTGAGTTTTGACTGTTCCCAGTTCCAGTTTAAAAAAAAGATGGTTCTCAGTTATAGAACCACAAATAGCCACTGCACTTTGTTTTCGTACTATTTCTCATCCACGACCCATGTTAATAATAGATTAGTGTAATTTCGCAATTGTACAATCTATGGGACCTATGTCTACCCACTCTGTATGTAATGACAAAGTTGACGTCAAAAAGAGTAGTGCTAGTAATCACATTTTGCAGATAGCGAATACTAATAATATAGTGGAAACACTTCTACCAATGTGAATTTTGTCCGTTTACTTGCTCACAGAGTGATGTGCAGAAACTGGTGATCTTTTTACTGCCATTTAATACATACCAACCATCAAAAAGTCGACGTGTTCTGTGTGTGTGTGTGTATGATTCTCCTACCTCATTATCTGTGGTCATGACTCCTTGACTAATTGGTAGAGTTTTGAGCCTTTATGGTCAGTTAGTTTTTAATATAAATATGTATTGATAAGGAGGCCGTGTGATCAGAATGTCCGAAATGTGTTACGTGAATGCATTACATGTTTCAGATAGAACAAACTGCGTCTTATTTTTTTTGTTGTTGTTGTCGAAATTCATGAAAGGAAGTAACTGCTTTTAAAAGTAATAACTTCTCCAGAGTGAATTACTCTCATAAGTTTTGCACTGATTTCTTCTGCTAATGAATTGAGGACATGCAAGGCAAACTTAGCTCATTGATTTAAGCACTTGACTTTTGACCAGTGGGCCTCGGGTTCGAATCCCACTGTGCCTACCTAGAGCGGGTAACTGGGCAGTATCATTAACCCTTACACAATAAGTGTCACTCATAATCCCTGGAATATGAAACACCCCTTCCAGGAACTGAGTTCAAAGATTGCATGCTAACCGTTTGGTTCAATGATAACACTCGCATCTTGTAACTCAATGATCCTGAGCTCATTGCTCCATGCAGTCATGTGTTTGCATTAGTAAAAAGTGCCAAGCTAGAAAATACTCGCTCTGTTAGCTCTCCTTAGTTTCTAAATACATCTCTGGCTATTTTCATTGAAAACCTGGTTCACTAATGTGTTTATTATTAATCTCTATTGAGGAAAAAGCTGAAGTCAAAGAAGCATTTGATCGTTATCGTGAAGAAGTATCTGAAATGGTTGAAAATATAGAAATGATCACTTTAGATAAAGAAATGACCGAAGAAAAACTAGAAAGATTGACTGGAGAAATTGAATTACTTAAGGAACAAGTAGAAGAATTAACTCTTGAGAATCAAATCTTGAAAGAAGAATTTGAAGAAAAAGGTTAGTAGTAATGATTTAAGTTGTTTCAAGGTTATTTTAAAATCGTTTCTATTGTATATGTTATTATTATTCATTAGGGTTCCTAGTGGAACATATTGCTTCAGCAACACATCGATCGATATTTCATCCTGTCGCCTTCGGCCTGTCGTAGCTGGCCCCACGATTGCTCATAACTTTCATCTCCACTTCACACGGCCTCCTTCATGTCACTCTCGTGTGCCCAACTCATCGATTGTTGTTTGAATCTCACTCGAGGGTCTGGCACGTGATGTGTCACTCGATAGTTTTCTCAGCCTGTGTCCAATGCGTTTATGTTTTCCTCTGAATATTTGTTGGACGATATGATCTTGGGTGGTTTTTTCGTGCCGGTGCTCCTGGTTGCTTGCTTATCCTTACTTGTCATTTAATCTGCAGTATGGAGCGAACGCATCTGAAGCCTCTTCGGAAAGTTTCTACTATAGTTGGGATAAACTACTGAAAAGGAAATTGTACTAGTCAAGTGATTTACACAGCAGTGTTTCCATTGATATCTTAGCTCTTAAAAATTCTCGTTTAACACCTCACAGAATGTGATCTAACCACCCATCTGAACTTTCTATAAGATGCTATTAACCACGTTAGCTCACAGGTTGCGAAACAAGTCAATCAACTAAGGTAGAGACACAGGCATATCGTGAAAACAATTTCATCGTATTTTATTATCAGTCATTTATAACTTCGATAAACATTTCACTTTTTTTCTTCAGTGTTATCGGCTTTACTCTAATCGCAGAACTGTCAACTGACATTGTGCTCATTACTTTTCAGGAGCTATTGTGGTAACTATCTCCATACTTGTTGTTCATGTATTTTGAGAAGTCATTTTATATACTTCAAGGTAGTATTTAGGCATCTACTGAATGAGTTCATCAGTCCAGTTGTTAGCGCCAGATGTCCGGATTCGCCCTTTCAACCAGGCAGCTTAAAGGTAGTAAACAGGAATTACGTAATCAAAGGCTATAAACGCGTAAGCACATGAGACGACTTCTAGAGGAAGACTGAAGTCTACCCACCGTCGACCGTACCAGGTCGTTAATTGTAGCCGTATACCAAACTGAAGCTGATCAATTCGTGTCAGATTTATCAGCAGGGAATCACGTAAATAAGCTAATACTGTCAGTGCGTGACATTACTCAAAACTCATTTTTCAATTCTGAGGATAAAGATTTACCGACTGGTAAAGAAGAATATGTAAAAATATAAAAGGTCACCCTGTCCCTTTATAGAATAATTTTATTTGGGGAGAAAAACAGTGATGCAACATTTTTTACTGATGACGTTTCGACAACAATTTATTGCTTACAACTATATCAAGGCACTCACATAACTTTTAAACTTCGTTTATGTAATTCTATTATTTCTTATCCATATCTCCAGTATACCAGCGTTACGTTATTCCTACTCATGTGTTACCTATAGATTAAATGAAGAAAAATTCAATGCTCGATTTCTCTCTCCACCTATTTATATTACTTTTTAGAACTGTAGCTCTCTCCCCATTGTATTGTGTGATTTTCATTTTTGTGAAGTCCATCATTTCACACTAAGCTAAATTCGTATGCTCCAATAATCTGACCAAACAACTGGTCTTACAGTTGTAGTTGATCTCACAGTCACTGCAGGTCATTATATTGATTAAATAGTTTTGTCTAATAGGGTCCCTTAATCTCTGAGTTACTTTGTAGGTTTAAATTCCACCCTAATTCCTGCCTTGTTATGAATCCTACGTCGAGTTATTTTATCGAATGAAATGATCCCATGATATGGAATTATACTCTGTTCCTACATCAAGGGTAACTGCGTTTTCTTGTCTAGAAATTCGCCAACATTTTTCTCTTACTTAAGGAGATAAATTACTGGACATTGCGTTCCTAGTTACTTATTGGATTCTACGTTGTTATCTCTCTTTCTCTTTCTTGTGGGAAATAGCGGGTGCAGTATCAGTCGGTGTTGAAGGCGGTCCAACTCTCTTACAGTTTAAAAATCTTGAACAACAAAATGAACGAATGAAAGGAGCACTGGTCAAGCTACGTGATTTGGTTAATCAAGATAAATCGGAAATTTCAGCTTTAACTAAACAGGTAAATTCCTGCTTAATAATTTTTATGTATGATGCAGTGAGCAAAGAAAGAAACTCGATGAAGGTAAAGTTGTAATTTTGATGTTCTTGCGTTCTTTGAGCTGGCTGATTTTAAAACTGCGAAACTTTCATGTTCCTTCCGAACAACATCTTCAGTACAAGCTTTTTATCAAAGCGCATCGGGTGCAGGGTTCTAGTCTGAGTGGAACACCAGCGTACGTACGTCCAGATGATGAATCTCAAATAGGACGAAGTGCTCATCCTACATTCCTCTGCTAGTCACTGTTATCATAGTAAAGGTTTTTCTAACTTATGAGATAAGTAGTGAATGCACTCAACTTACCAATTCAATATTTCTAAACTTATTAATATTCTGTACACGAATCAAGTCTACTTTTTAAGAACACTAAACAGGCTACCAAAAGTTATAAATATTAATGGAGCTGTATAGCTGAGTATTGTGAATTGTTCGCATATTGGCTTTAACTGTGTTTTGAATTTCGTTTATTCTTCCAACTCTTCTTTTAACATCAACTCACTCATAGACAATATCAAAGTTTACAGTTAAGTCTGAGATAACAGTTTGTCTGAGTGGGAAAATAAAGCCTAAAAGTGAATGGTCGAGCAAATGGAAGTGATGAATGATGTGATAAGAGTTATTTACCTCTGTTGTCTTACGATTTTTGTGAAGCTCGAAATGTTATGGGGACAGTCCAAATCTGTGACCTTTAAGTCCAATTCGAAAATAAGCAAAGCAATGTCATGATGCATTTTATCTTAATTTTGGTAACTAAGTCAAATCTGTAAGCCATTTTTACCTGTACACATGCTGTATGGAATCAAGGCGTTTCAAACTCGTCACATGGTACCCCGTATTCACCAAGCCTTCATTTTTGTGGCAAAATTTCTTCCACATAATAATGCTGTTAGTAGGACGCCCGTGTAAACTCTATGAAAATGTGTCTATTAGTAAGGTATTTCGAGAAGGTTAGATCAGCTGAGATTCTTTGGTTGTACTTGGTGCATTTAACCGCCATTTATCGCTGATTTATTGTTATTGTCTATTATATCTGTAACGGCCAGTTAGATCAGTTCACTCTTATTGCTTTCTTTAAACTAGACGACTAATGGTAGTAGTAAGGTTTTCACCATCACAATGAACTATACAGTCAGAAAATAGAAGTTAATTGGTGGATGGTGACTAGCAATAGAATCCAGGATGCGCATTTCGGCCTATTTGGGACTCGTCAATTGGATCTAGCTGTATTCCGCAGTGAGTGATGATGTCCCCACTGAGGCTCGGACGCAGTGCCCATAGCTTCAAACGCCAAAGCGTTATCCACTAGACCACTTGGGCCAAGATGGCCACCTCTTGTGAAATGGGTCATATTAATTATTTAATTCAACTGGAACTGTCTCATATGTGTGCAAAGTTCTATGTTGAGATCAGTAAGTTAGTCAGCTTTATCTGTATATTCATTTATACTAATTCAGCTCACTTCTATGCTATTTTGTAATATTAAATAGCTTGAAACAGACATCACAGTCACTGACGTCTGATATCGTATTGAGATTGTGGGAATTTCGTTGTAGGGATTTGGATTAATTTTACTGCATATTTCGTCTCAATCCAATATCAGTTAAAAAAATTATCAAAAACCATAGAACACTAGACAGTGGTTTTGTCCCAACTTGTGGTTCTTCAGCAGCATGCTAAATAGTCATCGGAATCAGCCTTGTGACATGAAGGTCCTGAATTCGACCTCCGTTGGGGACGTGAGTGCGTATTGCTGAGGAGTTCTAATCAAGTACGAAACAGTTGTCTGGAGCTCCTTGATTTTGAATATTTCCCTAACTGATGTTGGTTCACGACGAAATCTACACTATCACATTGTATTTACCTACTTTTTATGAGAATTTGAAATACCAAACTTTAAACTGAATAATTAATTTTGTTTATTTGTATTTTAAAGATTACATCTTTAGAATCAGAAGTTAGTCAACTTCAAACAGAAAAAGAACGATTAACAAAAAATTTAAAAGATAGTGTTGAACAAATTATTGAATTAAAAGAACAAGTGGATGCTTACCTCGGCATTGATACAATGGTCAGTCAGTTGACACAACGTAATTTAGAACTGGAAGAAACGCTTGAGAAAATTAAAGAAGAAAGAAATGATCTGGTATGTATACACATGATGATGTTGATATGCTTAATAAATCCTTCATATGTATCCCTGCAGATGTTATGATTCCCAAATCTAATAGTATAAATAATGACTGCTTCTCGTGTTTTAACACGAACGATGTCCTTAATTGTCTTCAATCTCTGAAACCTACCCAGTCCCTTGGTCCTGATGGAGTTCCTGCTGTTATCCTTAAGAAGTGTGCTGACATCTTATGTTACCCATTAACCGACATTTTCAATGAATCCTTTTCCCAAAGTATTATTCCGGACTCATGGAAAAATATCAAGGTTGTTCCAGTACCTAAATCAACAAGTGGACCTACTGTTAAGTTTCGACCGATTGTTATTACCTCACCTTTTTTAAAAGTTATGGAAAGACTTATTTTACTTAATCTTGAACCCTCTTTAAAGCCTTTTAATGACCCCAACCAGTTTGCCTATAAACATAGTAGGAGTACCTTAGATGCCGCTGTTGTTCTACATCATAATATAGTCTCTAGTTTAGATAGAGGAGCCAAATATGTTCGGTGTGCCTCCCTTGATTACACATCTGTATTTGACTCTGTTCCTAGGTCTCTTGCTAAGTAGAAAACGGGCTTGAGTATAAACTGCAACTCAGAGATGTAATTGGGTAATTAAAATAAAATAAAATAGAGTAAATGAGAGAAATTCTGATGGAAAGAAAATCGGGTAGCCTAGTTATTTAAGCAAACCATTATTGTTTGCTCTGATTTATTCTTAATGTTGGTGCTCTACAATCTTTTATTTACACGGTTTGCGGAAAACTGTAAATAAATCGTTGTTAATGTAACAGGATATTATGAAATATCTTTAATTTCTAGTGTAAATGTAGTTCACACTTTTTTTTGTCTCACTTTACCCACTTACCTAACTACCGTTCATTCGTTAGTTAAACTACTATGGAATGGGAATTAGTTGTAGCATTTCTACACTCAATAATGACGAAAGTTTCCTGCAAGCGATGTGACTCCTTCATATTTCTAATTAATTAACTCTAACTAAACGGTCGGTTAGGAGCGGACAGGTGGTGTTCAATCCATGACGTGTTGTCATGGGATAGAGAATAGTTGTCATTAGTTTAGCATCTCTTGTTGCACCGCTACCCCGAATGACAGTCCAAATCACTGACTTGAGTTGTTATCAAATATGGCTGAGAATCGTAATCTGAGAGTAGCATGCGGTGATAAGTCCCCTGAATAAGTATGCTTGCGAGTTTGCATAATTCTGTTCCCCAGCTACTCCATTTCTCTTCCTTATACTGTGTCTTATTGTTTTTGTTTTGTGTGGCACATCTCGTGTTGCCCATATTGTAGCAAGTTGCTGCTGAAATAATAACAAGAATGAGGATGGATTTCCCGCCGATGAAATTAGTTGGTGGTCGCGCTAAAAACACGAATTGGTAGAAGTTAGAATTCATGGGCCAGTGGCTGAATGGAATACGAGCTTGCCTTGTAACCGGAAGGCCCTGGGATCGAACCCCAGTCCGTGCATACTTTCTCTCGGAAATTAGTCAGTGGTCCTCTTCAAACGGTCCTAAGCTGAATCCGTCTAAATATCAGGTAGTAAATTTCACTTTCAGACGAAAACGTGACCTACAACAACTAGCTAGCTCACATGGTCCCACTATCATTGATGGCATAGAGATTGAAACTACATCTAATGTCAAATACCTTGGACTGAGTATTTCCTCCGATCTTTCCTGGTCCTCTCACATCTTGCTAGTTACTAGAAAGATGTTTCGCTTGACGTTCTACGTTAGGAAGTTAAGGCAGTCTGGTATAAAGCAGTCTTTGCTTTCTCAGTTTGTCAACTCTTGTATTCTAACGATCCCTCTTTACTGCTCCCCATTAATCTTTCCTGGATTACTTAAGAAAGACTTTGCTTTGCTGCATAGGGCACTAAAAGCTGTTAGTAGGGGAAGTGGGATTTCGTTAAACCAACTGATTAACACCATTGTGGATAGACATATAATGTCATGTAAGCTACTAGCGAATTCTCTATACGCAGCTCTCTCCTTGCATTTCATCTGGTAGAACTAGAAGCAACTATAGGAGGCTATATGCCAGGGCTCCTAAGTACAAAAACTTCACAATACCTTATCTGGCACAGCTGTTATGTGATGAGAAAACTGTTAGGTATGACACGATCAACTTACTGCGGCACTCGAACAAATAGTTCCCATTAGCTTTTGTTCTCCTTTCTTTGTAACTATTATATTGTTGCTCACATATTCTATTACACATTAATTTTATATTTCATATCCTGTGGTGCATTGTTTAAATATGTGAATGCAATGCCGTTCTTTTTTATTTCTTTTATTTCTCGTCTTTTCTTTTTGTTGTTGTTGCTTTTTATTTTTAAAATCTTACAAAATTTATGAGGTAATTAGATGTAATATTGTAATGCACGCTGAAAATTCCATACCTGTACCATAAATACTGTTTGGAATAAAGCTATTATTATTATTATTAAGCTGTAAATATACCATGCCCCTTTTTCAATCTGCAAAGCTATAGACTGCAATCATATTCTATGTTCAATTTAAATGCGAGCATCCAAAGTATTACCTTATATTGATCTTTACAATAGAGACAACAGTACTGAAAGTAATAGTAAGGCGATAACCATCACTAAAGCTCAGCATTTTTTTGATGTTAACAGAAAGTTGATATTACTACTATGTGGAGTTTATAACAAAAAGTCTAGAAATGATAAGAATTAACCGTCTTTGATTTTAAAAAAGTGCTTTGATTAAATAATTATTTGCTTCTTTTTTTTCCTATGGTTTTTATAGGAAGCTCTTTGTGAAATGAATGATGAATTGCAAGAGAATAGTCGTCAAACAAAACTTGAACTACTTGAAGAAATTGAACGAGCCAACAGTCAAATTAATCAACTTGTACGTCACTTAGATGCGACACGTGAAACAATTGCAGACTATGAACAAACTCTTGGTAAATTTAGAGATTTAGTCTCTGATTTACAAACACAAAATACTGATCTACGTAGGTCATTAGCGGATGAAAAACGCCTACAGGAAGAACAACAGCAACAAAATGCCTATCGTACAGTTGCAACAGATCTTGTCGGTTCTACAGCTGCATTTATGGGGGGTAAATTCGGATTAGGCTCTCAAGTACAAACTCTTGCTAAAGTGAGTATTTCATATCATTATTTTTATTGATATCAATCTGTGATGAAAAGTGAAAACAAATAAAATCCCTAGAAATCAACACTTAAAAAGTAATCTGATACTCACTAGTGGTTGACTTACCGATTGCAGTCACCCAAAGTTCTAGGGGAAAGTCGTGACTAGCCGAGTCCACCAAGTTGGGTGTGAGGACAAATATTCACCGCTGACATATTGGCTGGTGGTGATGTTGTATATCCGGAAACTGGCAGAAGTTAGAAGTGTGAAAAGTCATTGGATTCCATCCGAGTGGCTGAATGGTTATCGAGCTCGCCTTTTAACCTGCAGGTCTAGGGTTCCATCCTGCGTGAGGTGGTTATAGGTTCGTACTGCTGTCAAATACTCCCTGGGTTTCAGTGACTGACTCTCCAAATGATATTAATCCGTGATCACACTTAAAACCAATCAAATGGCTACAAGCTAGCGCTTGAAAATGATTTTTATTGCTAATTTTATTGATTTTACGGAATATTTGACACAGCGATTATTCATCGATACAAATTAAGTAATCCTGAAAGACCATTGTACACACAGAAATCATAGTAATAATTAAAAGTAAACAAAATGAAAAGGATTATAATGAAGGAAGTTTTCTATTCACCGAAATTAATTTTAAAACTTCATACTGGTTTATTTATACTAGAAGAAACAGAATATTTTATAATAATATCAAATTAGGGATTGAAATAGGCTCAGTGGGAAAATTTCTAACGCTGGTTTGCAAGGATTTAATTGATTTCAAATTGGATCATGAACCGACTTCAATTAGAGAATTAGTGAAAACCAAGTAGTACTAAATATCTCTCTCTTCCTAGTTTTGTGAATTTCCAATCGTAGATACCTATCACCACCTCACTAGAGGTCGAACACAGGACTCTTCATTTTACAGGAAGAACTCGTTGATCACTCAGTCGCTGGGACAGAATCCAGTGGGCGGGCCATCAATTCTGACTTCTGCCAGTTTTGCGATTTATAGCTCCGCTGGCAGCCACCAACATCATCTGCAAGTAATTGTCGTCACAATCAACTTGGTGTGCCCCGTTTATGACAACCTCTTGCATCGTTCGACGCCTGGTGAAGTTATGAGTGCGTGTTGTTGAAGAGCTGTAAATGGAGACGAAACATATATTGTTCATTTTAATTTCATTAACTACTAAAATCTTGTCCGCAATTAGTAATTGTTTACTTTAAAGATGCCTATGTTTTTATATCTACATGGCAAGTCAATAGCATTTTTTATGCTAAATGCCTTTTAAACTTAATTTTGACATCCCGTTCGTCTTAGAAATAAACTCCGCTTTCCTTATATCACTATGATAAGCTATAACAACTATTGGAATTATACTTTTACCGATTTGAATTAGTTTAACAACTCAATTATCATTTACACTTCTCGTGTTTTAATCTGTAAGCAACATGTAATCTTTTAGAGATATATGGTTACCTAAATTTCGGTTAATTTTTTGGAATCTGAATGATAAGTGTGGTGTCTTAACCAATTTGCCTGAAGTAGATACGATGGCTTGGTTTTCTTAGAATGATACGGAGAAGGTCATGTGAGAAGGAAACGAAAACTCCTGGACAGTAGTGAAGCTATTTTTTCCTTGAGTTCTGATGGAAACAGAGGGGTTTGATAACACATCTGCTTTGCAATCTGTTCTCTGAAGTCCCACTCTCGGTTAGCTTCACTACTAGATGGTCGCAGGCAATCGGCAGGAAGCCTTGGACCCTAGTTTTCGTGATTCTTGGCACTCGTCGGGAAGGCATATCTGCAACCTTGAAGG